ACCACTTGTCTGGTTTGTCAGTCAGTTTGTCATACTTTGGTGGCTTGCATGTTGCTGTGAGGCTGGAGGCTATGCCACCGGTATATCAAATACCAACAGGGTCACCCATGGTTTCAGCGGAGTTTCCGGGCTAACACAGACTCAGAAGAAGGAAGGGGCCATCCACTTCTCAAGGAATTGGCCAGTGAAGATCTTATGAATAGCAGTGAAACATTGTCTGATATATTACTGGAAAACTTTATGAATAGCCTGAAACGTTGTCTGATATAGTACCAGAAGCCCATCTGGTCAGAATGCACTCAAAATATGACTGGAGAAGAGCTACCTTCTCAGAGTGGAGCTGAACTTAATGATGTGGATGGAAAAAGCTTTTGGTACCTTCACTTGCTGATGTGGCAAAACTCAAAATGGGAAGACACAACTCCAAACATCCATTAATAATTGGAACATGAAATTTATGAAATATGAATCCAGGAAAAATGGAAGTTGTCAAGAATAAAATAAAGATTGATATCCTAAGCATTAGTGAGCTGAAATGGACTGTTTTTGGCCATTTTGAATCAGACAACCATATGATCTACTATGCCAGGAATGACAATTTGAAGAGGAATGGTGTGGAATTCATCATCACAAAGGATGTTTCAGGATTTGTCCTGAAGCACAATGTTGTCATTAATAAGATAACATCCATAAGCCTACAAGGAAGACCAGTTAATACTACTGTTGTTGTTATATGCCGTCGAGTCGGCCCCGACTCATAGCAACCCCTCCTTGGGTTTGCGAGGCAGTATCACTACAGAAGTAGGATTGCCCAACCTTCTTTCTAAGGAGTGGCTGGTGGGTTTGAACCGCCAGCCTTCTGGTTAGCAGTCAAGTGCCTTAGGCACTATGCTACCAGAGCTCCTACTACTATTATTCAAATTTATGCACCACCAAAGCTGAAGATGAAGAAATTGAAGATTTTTAGCAACTTCTGCAGTCTGAAGTTGACCAAACATGCAATCAAGATGTGTTGATTATCACTGGTGATTGGAATGCAGAAGTGGAAGTAGATTGCGCAAGGAGTGGCTGGTGGGTTTGAACTGCCCGCCTTCTGATTAGAAGTCAAATGGCTTAGGCACTACGCCACCAGAACTTCTTCATCCATTTCAGGAGGTGGCATACGATCAAGAACCAATGGTATTGAAAGAAGAAGTTGAAGCTCCACTGAAGGAATTGGCAAAGAACAAGGCTCCAGGGATTGACAGAACACCCATTGAGATGTTATAACAAATGGATGCCACACTGAAGGCATTTACTTGTCTATGCCAAGAGATTTGGAAGACAGCTACCCAGCCATATTTGTACCCAATCCAAAGAAAGGTGATCCCACATAATGTGGTAATTATCAAACAATATCATTGATACCACATGCAAGTAACATCTTGCTGAAGATAATTAGAAACTGGTTGCAGCAGTATATTGACAGAAAACTTCCAGAAATGCAAACTGTATCCAGAAGGGGAGGTGACATGAGAGATATCATAGCTGATGTCAGATGGATCTTGCCTAAAGGCAAAGAATACCAGAAAGATATTTACTTGTGTTTTGTTGACTGTGCAAAGGCATTCAAATATGTAGATCATAACAAATTATGGATAACATTGAGAAGAATGGGAATTCCAGAACATTTTATTGTGCTCATCAGAAACTTGTACATAGACCAGGAGACTGTCGTTCAAACAAAACAAGGGAATACCACGTGGTTTAAAATCAGGAAAGGGGTATTCATCATTGTATCCTTTCTCCATACTTATTCAATCTGTATGCTGAACAAATAATCCAAGAAGCTGGACTTTATGAGGAAGAACGTGGCATCAAGATTGGAGGAAGACTCATTAACAACCTGTGACATGCAGATGGCACAACTTTGCCTGCTGCAAGTGAGGATGACTTGATGCACTTACTGATAAAGATTGAAGAGTACAGTCTGCTGTATGGATTACATCTCAACATAAAGAAAACAAAAATCCTCACAACTGGACTAGTAAGCAGCATCACAATAAATGGAGAAAAGATTGAAGTTGTTAAAGATTTCATATTACTGGGTTCCACAGTCAACACCAATGGAAGTAGCAATTAAGACATCAAACAACTATTGCACTGGGAAGATCTGCTGCAAAAGACCTCTTTAAAGTGCTAAAGAGCAAAGATGTCTCCTTGAAGACTAAGGTGCACCTAACCCAAGCTGTGGTATTTTCAATTGCCTCATATGCACATGAGAGCTGGACAATGAACAAGGAAGACCGAAGACTTGATGCTTTTGAGTTGTGCTGTTGGCAAAGAATACTGAAAGTACCATGGACTGCCAGAAAAATGAACAAATATGTCCCGAAAGAAGTGCAGGAAGAATGTTCTTTGGAAGTGAGAATGGCCAGACTTCGTCTCACTTACTTTGGTCATGTCAGAAGGGACTGTTCCCTGGAGAAGGATATCATGCTTTGTAAAGTGCCAGGTTAGTAAAGAAAAGGAAGGCCCTCAACGAGACATATTGACACAGTGTGTACAATGATGGGCTTAGGTATAGCAAGTATTGTGAGGCTGGCACAAGACTGAGTAGTGTGTTGTTCTGTTGTACATAGGATTGCTATGAGTTGGAGCTGACTCGACGTCACCTAACAACAACTAACATGACACCTAATCATTGATCCTTGGGTATAATATCCTCTCTTAATTCTCTAGGTATATTAAATATACTTATAAGTTTTATACTCATTTTATTTATACATTTATTTTAAGCTTAATGCTCTGTTTTACTTTCTCACATATTGTTCTGTCAGGAATAATTTTATTTATGTAATGTCATTTGTTTAATTCATTACCTACATATATATGTTCCACTGGTTTTGCTTCTCTATAAAGCCAGCCTAGGGCATTGAGCATATTTAATTAATTATATTTTCTTCATTTTGTAGACTACTGAGAAATTCAATGTATTTTTTTGTGTGTGCTTGCTATTATAGTTGATATTCTCTCAGACCTTATGATTCCTCTCTTTTTCATTCACTTTAGGATAATGCATGAGATCTGTGTTAGTATCTTATAATATTGTCAACAAGTATGCCAAGAACAAGGTTTACATAAACTCTGAGTCATTAGGCAGCTAGTCTACTTGTACTTTCTGTTTTTTTTTTTTTTCCCAGTCATAGCAGCATTGCCTTGTTTCTCTCTCCCACACTCTCAGACCCTATTTCTCCTTAAAAACAAGAGATTGCTCTTAAAATTGTCTTAAATTGAAATAAAATTGTGGATTTGTTACTCAACTTGTATTGCAATAATCACTTCCTGTTACTAAATGTCTTTAAGAATTATTTTTCTCAATGCTTGATATATTAACCTACTGTCACCTAATCAATACCAACTTATAGTGACGCTTTAGGACAAAGTTGAACTGCTCTGTAGGATTTTCAAAGCTATAAATCTTTATGAATGCAGATGGCCATATCTTTCTCCCATCGAGCGGCTGGTGGGTTTGAACCACCAACCTATTGGTTAGCAGCCTAATTCTTTAACCAGTATGCCACCAGTATTATATCTGTTGTAGCATTTCTCTCTGGCTTCTTGTCTATTTTCAATCTTCTAAGTTCTTTTTCCTCATTAGTTTTATATATGTGCAAAGTGGCTCCTATTATGCATGGGACTTTCTGTATATGTTTCTGTAAATTTGTTCTTGTTTTATTTTAAAACTAAAAAAGGGGGGAAAAAAAAAAGAAACCACTGTTGAGTTGATTCTAACTCAAAGTGACCCTAGAGGATAGAGTAGAACTGCCTGATAGGATTTTCAGGCTTGTAAATCTTTATGGAAGCAGGCTGCTTCATCTTTCTCCTGCAGAGCATCTGGTATGTTTGAGCCGCTGACCTTTTGGTTGCTTTTGGTTACTAGCTGAATACTTTAACTGTTAGGCAGAAACATGGCTGGCCAGGTGGGTGAATGATTGAGCCGGAGGGCATTATAAGAACTGGTCAAGCAAGGAGGCATCTGACCAGAGCCCATACCAAACCCCAGCACATAGCCCTTGCTTACGAAAGACCCCAGCACCTGACTCTTACGAAAGCCCCCAACCATTTCCTGCCCACCATGTTAATGAAGTGCTTCAACTCTGCTTCCTACCCCCATGCTAATAGGGTACTTTAACCTTATTGGTCCCTGTAACACATACTCTGCTCTCACTCTGGTCCTCCAAGAACCAGGAAGAAAATCACTATAAAAAACCCTTTCTTTCACCTGGGCAATGCGACTTCTCTGGCCCCTCTCAGGGACCCGTGAACCTCGCCCGGGCCCCTCTCGGGGACCCGTAAACCTCTCCCGGGAGCACAGAATAAAAACTTCTCTTTAACCCCACTTTTGCGTGTCCTCCTCTCCTTACTGAGACCTTCCATTAACCACATTTCCTCCAGAACTCCTAGTATTTTACATTGTGCAGTGTGAAATGTTTGGGTACCACCATGTCTCATTTATCTAAACTGTAAGATGTATGTTTTCTAACAGAGGCCTGTGATACATAGTTTTAAGCATGCTAAAACTATATTTTTTTCAAAATGTTGTCTTTGTTTTATTCTTTAAAACACTACCCTTATATATTAAATTCATTGTACTGGTCCTGATAAATGGGAGCTCTGGTGCTTAAGGCACTTGACTGCTAACCAGAAGACTGGCAGTTCAACCCACCACTCCTCGGTAGGAAGTTTGGGTAATCTACTTCCATAGAGATACCGCCTCGGAAACCCAAGGGAGGGGTTGCTGTGAGTTGAATAGACTCAATGGCAGTGAGCTTGGTTTTGGTTTTGGTTTTAACAGTAATTATAAATTCTTATTACTTAGGACATCAAATACTGATGAATATGTTCATGCTTTTCTTTAATGGACTGAGTGCCTGTTTTCTTCAAAACTGGGTAAAATATAATTTTACTTATGTGTTTCTGATTTACCAAATCATCTTTACTGATTTCCTTTATTTTAGGTGACTTATATTATTAAAATGGATGGAAAGCCCTATACTCTACATCTCAAAAAACAGTAAGTTACAAGTTTTAAAAATTTTGTAATGATTCAAATTCAGAAATGCATATGATGTAGACAGATTTTATCAATCGATTTTTAAGATTCATACAGTTTTAAATGTGAGATCCATGAAACATTTGCATTTTAATTATTGTAGTTTGTTATTTTGAAATTAAAAAAAATTAGCTACATATTTTAAACTTCCTAATGGCCATAAGCCATTAATTGTGAGTACCGCAAGCTGTGTATTTGCTATGTATGATATGAAATCAAATATAGTTATACATCAAGTTGTGATTAGTGGGAAATTTAACAGGTGGTATAATTTTTATGGATGTATGCATAGTGCCTAAGGCACTTGACTGCTAACCATATGGCTAGTGGTTCAAACCCACCAGCCACTCCTCAGAAGGAAGGTTGGGCAATCCACTTCTGTAGTGATTCTGCCCCAGAAACACAAGGAAGGGTGGCTATGAGTTAGGTCTGACTCGACAGCACATAACAAAAACAACAACAACATTAATGACATTGTATTTATTTTACAAACAACTTTATTGGGTATGTTTTACATATAGAAGTCATCCATTTCAAATATACAATAATTTTAATAATTTTATACAGTATTACAACCATCAGTCCTAGAATATGTTCATTCCTCAAATAAGTTCTCTTATGCCAATTTACACTTATTCCCTGTTCCCACCCACAGCCCCAGATAACAATCTACTTCTATCTTAAAATTTTCATTTTCTCAACATTTCATATAAATATAATCAAACTGCCTTTTTTCTGTCTCCATCTTTGATAATATATATTTTTAGCCTGCTATCTTTTGTCTATTTACATCTTTATAGTTTAACAAGGCTAGAGAAAGTTATTCTCACTTAATTCATTACAATTCTCACTTAATTCATAACAATTGAACTCACCTTTCTCCCTCACCAACTAGGCTAAAAGAAATGTGTTTTGATAAGAGCTTTATGTTTCTGGATGAGAGAGTTATTAGTCTAGTCTTCATTTCTCTTAACCAGTTAGTATTTTCTGGCACAGCTGATCATTCTCCCTGCTTTAAAATAATTTCTTCATTTGGCTTCCAAGATACCATGTACTCTTGGTTTAATTCTTACAATTGTGATTGCTCCTTCTCAGTTTTCCTTACTGAGGCCTTCTCATCTCGCCAATCTTTGAAACTTAGAGACTCTAAGGTGCTGTCCTTGAATCTCGTCTGTTTTTTCTAGCTGCACTCATCACTTAGATATTCATTTTGTGGCATAAAATATTATCTATGTGTTGACTACACCAACATGTGTATCTCTATCCATTTCCTATGAACTCTACATTCATTTTTCTGATTACTTACTTACTAGAATTCTCATACTTACCATGTCCAAAATTAACTTCTGATCATCTCCCCAGTGCTAATTCCATTCTCTCAGTTTCTCAAAACAAATACCTTGAAGTTAACTATGGCATCTTTTGTTTTACCTCCTACCAAATGGGTTATTAAATTGTATGTATTCTATTTTCATAACATGGCAGGATAGAATCTCCACCACTACTAGTATTCAAGTTGAAGCTACCATCATTTTTTGTCTGTATGATTGCAGTACATCCTAACTGGTCTCCTTGTTTTTTTTCTAATTTGCCCCAACAGACTATTCTCAACACAGCATTAAATCTGCTGCTATTAAAATATGGTCCAAACCTGTCATTAATTTGTTCAAAACTCTCCAATGACTCTGTGACCCCATCTTATTAAAACCAAAATCCAGTTACTGTTGAATTTACTCTGACTCATGGTAATCCTATGTGTGTCAGAGTAGAACTATGCTCCATAGGGTTTTCAGTGTTAATTTTTAGAAGTAGATTGCTGGCTTTTTTTTCTGAGGAACTTCTGGTTATACTTGAACTGCCAATCTTTCCGTTAGCAGTAGAGTATGTTAAACATTTGCACTACCTACAAACCATCTCTTACTTCTTTTTCTCTTATTCACTTCACAGTACCCTTAGTTGTTCTTTGTATACACAAAGCACATTTTTACCTCAGGGTCATTGCTTTCTCCTACTTTTGCCTGGAATACCTTTTCATACAAATTAATGTAGCTTTTTATTTTATTTTTATTTTTTTGAGTCTTTAATCATCAATTCAATGACCTTTTTTCAATAAATCCTACCTAAATTTGCAAACAAGCCCCAGCAACCCCACCTTATTTATTATTCATCCATCATGTTAGTAGGGTATGTCCCGGAGTATTGTGAATACCAGGAGTTTTATCTGTTTTATTCACTGTTCTATCCCAGCTCCTAGAAGAGGATATGTTACATAGTAAAACCAAAAAATCAAACTCATTGCCATTGAGTCAGATCCGATTCATGGAGACCCTTCCTTGGGTTTCTGAGGTGGTATCACTACAGAAGTAGATTGCCTAATCTTCTTTCTGAGGAGTGGCTAATGGGGTTGAACCACCAGGCTTCTGGCTAGCGGTCAAATGCCTTAGGCATTTATAAATATTTGTTGAATGAAGACATATACAGCCATGCAGATATAAATATGTGATCATAGAGAAGTCATAGAGACTATTTCAATGATAAGAAAACTCGACCCCTTAAGACACTGTTTCTAGGAATTTTAACTCTTATGCCACAGTAAAATAATAATTCTAATTACAGCATGTTACCATATAAATCCTATACATCCATACTCATTTTTGTCACTTTTAATATTTACATTACATTAATTTCATAACTCAGACATTTTTTTATTTTTGTTATTCTTAGCTCATTCTTATCCCAGAACTTTTTGGTTTATACATATAATGAAACTGGTTCTTTGCATTCTGAGTCTTCGTATTTAAAGGTAAGACTCTTTTCTTATTACCATGTGCTTTTCTACTAAAAGGACATCAATAACATTGAGATATATTTGTTTCCTGTTGCCTCTTGAATACAAATATCTTATGCCATATAACAGCCACTATTTCAGGTTAATTGTTGTACATAGAAATGACATATGACAGAGATGGAAATCCAGAAACAAGAAGATACTTGTAGTCACCCAGGTGATACAGAGTAATAAAAGTTCTCAAAGCCCTTTCTTTCCCCCGAAAATTTGTGTTAATAATTCTGCATGATTCACACTCTTACTATTGTCAATGCTTTTAATGTTTTGAGTCTCCTGCAATGTTTGACAATACATTTTTCTTCAGAAAGAATTTATGTATTTTTCTTCTTTCTATACTGCTTTTTAGATGCATTGCCATTACCAAGGATATATTGAAGATTTTCCAAATTCCGTTGTGACACTCAGCATCTGTTCTGGACTCAGGTCATATCATCTTATGGGGTATATATAGATGAAAAACTTAAAATGTACTTTAAACTAAAACTTTGTGGCTAGAACAAACTTAGACCTCTAGGAAGGTTTAAGGAAAATCAAGTCTGAAAATTTCATTATGATGGGCTTACTTCTATTTATATTAATATGAATGTCTGAACCTAAGTGATCTGTCATATGAAGTCAGTCTGGGTAGTCTTGGCTGGAAAGATTTCCAATAACTTTGCAGAAAGGCATAATTTCAAGAAGAGAAACTAAAAAATCTCCTTAAAAATTATTGTTGCATCATCGATTGTTGTTGTTGTGTGCTGTGGAGTCAGACTGATTCATAGCGACCCCTCCTTGGGTTTCCGAGGCAGCATCACTACGGAAGTAGATTGCCCCATCTTCCTTCTGAGGAGTCGCTGGTGGGTTTGAACCACCAGTCTTCTGGTTAGCAGTCAAGTGCCTTAGGCACTATGCTACCAGAGCATCATCATTAGTTATCTCAATTAGCTTTGGTAACTGACGTTGTTGTTGTTATGTGCCATCGAGTCAGCCCCGACTCATAGTGACCCCTCCTTGGGTTGCTGAGGCAGTATCACTACAGAAGTAGATTGCCCAACGTTCCTTCTGAGGAGTGGCTGGTGGGTTTGAGCTGCCAGCCTTCTGGTTAGCAGTCAAGTGCCTTATGCACTATGCTTCCAGTTATCTCAATTAGTTTTGGTAGCTGACGTGCTTTAAATATGATAAGCACCAGTAATGTACTCTCATATTAGGGACATTCAGTACAATATGTAGAAACAACCAATTAGAAGGTCTTCCAGAGGTAAAGGGCAGGGGTAAGTGTCATTGGAAGGTGATAAACAGGTAAGAGGAAAAAAATCCAGAGCTGAGAAAAATGACTCCCTGACTTTTTCTTTTTCACTTGGTTGCCCGATTTCCAGAATTTACACAAATCAAGCAGAAAATTGGCTCTCTTTGAATATTATTTGCATGGATATCAGCCTCTTCGGATATCTACTCTACATATCTGCTTCCCCTTACTCTAAGCTTTGTAAGAAAAGGAACTTTATTCTCAAAATTCTAAATGGATTTTTTTTTAAAAAAAGTACCTAGCAATTACTAGGCCTCAAAAAATACATTCTGAATGAATGAGATTACTATCAAGAAATTATAAAACACATTTCATTATATTTAGTTTTTGAAGATATGAACAAATCTAAGGCAAATATGGTCACCCAGTAGCAGAACTGCAAAGAACAAATAGGAAAAGAAAGTGGATTTAAAACCTTTTGTTTACTATGGTTCCTCCTTTCTCACTCTTAAGAGTATAGCTTTAATGGAGTCATTTGGAAGATTTTTATAATTGTTGCCTTCTGAATATACAGGGGATTCCTTCAGTTTGAAAATAGTACCATTGGGATTGAGCCAGTGGAATCTTCAGCAGGATTTGAGCACATAATATATCAAGTGAAAAATGACATTCCAGATGTACCAATGTTGGCAGAAAATGCAAGCAGGTCTTGGCAGAAGGACCAGCCCAATAAAATTGATATGAGTTCACAAGTAACTATGGTAATTCTGATTTTATTACGTACTAAGAAATTACTTCTGTTACTTCTGTAGAATTTTATTAATCATGAAAATAATGTATTTGAAGAGCAATTCTATAGGAATATTAAATTTGATGTCTGGTTTCTATATCTAAAAAACACCTGAATTTCTTCTAAACTATCTGGAAAATTATCTAATGATGTATATTCAAACTTACTGTCTTATAATATATTTATAACATTTCTTGCTTTCTATTTTTATTGAAGTAAAATACAGATTATTGAATAAATTTTGTAAATAGAGGAAGGACAAAATCATTGCTATTACCACTGCCTTGGTAAAATTATTTTTAATATTATGAGGAATAGCTTTATCTATCTTCAAATCCACTTAATTTTTTCTCCTCCCTGCTGACATCTGTTAAGCTTCTCTAATGAATTTTCATTTCAATTATTTTACTCTTCAGCTCCATATTTTCTTTTTTTTAATCTTTTTATAATTTCTATAGCTTTACTGATATTCTCTATTTGTTGACATATACTTTTAATACTTTACTTCTTTATTTACTTTAGATCTTTGAACATACTCAAAATACTATAAAAAGTCTTTTTAATGTAGACTTTCTTTAACTCTAGACTTTCTCAAAGAAATTGTCTATAGTTTGCATTTTTTTTCCTGTGTATGGAACATACACTCTTAGTGTCTTTTTTTTCTTTCTTTTTTTCTTTTTTGCATGTCTCATAATTTTTATTGGAATCAGTACATTTTAAATTATATGTTGTGGTAATTCTGAAAATAATATTCCCCCCACAGGTTTATTATTGCTGTGATTTGTTATAGTTGTTTTTTATTTTATTGATTTTCTGAATTGATTCTGTAAAGTCTGTGTTCTTTTTGTGTGTGTTGCCAGTGAATATTTCATTCTATTAGTAGTGACCTAGTAATTTGAGAGAGATTTATCTAAATAGTTGGAACCAATACATCTCCAGTCTTTGCATAGAATCTCTGTGTGCATGTTGAATCACATATTCAGCACTAAACCAAGCAGTTAACAACTGGATTTCACTTTATTTCCTACTTGCAAAGAGCTTCAATACCAGTCAGAGGAGAGAGGTTAGGGCCCATCTAGGTCTTTTCTGAGCATGTGCACAGCCCTGGGCATGCACATGGTCTTGTAGATTGCCAGAAATATTTCATAGCTTTTTAAACCCCCTATGAACAACTTAGTCCTCAGCTTTTTCTTTTAAGCTTTTGCATTAGTCTGTTGCTTGCCCCATCTGTTATCCACTGCCTCAGAGAGTTACAAAGGTGCAAAAAAAAAAAAAAAAATCCTGTAATTGTTTTTAATAAATGCTTTTGGGGAAAAAGACTTTTCACATTGGGAGCTCCAAGGTCAAATTCAGACAGCTTCAGAAGTGTGTTTTCTAGAGAATCTTGGTATAGGTCAATTCATGACAGTTCCCTGGGGATGAGGCTTTGAGGAAGTTCCAGCCCCATTTTGCTTTTCTTAGTAGTTGCCAGACTACTAGTTTTCACCGCAGATGTGAGCTATGAATTTTTAATTAATGGAGGAACGGACTATGGCAAGTAAAAATGACACAAAGATCACTGTCCTTACAAAGATTCAGCCATTTATTCTTGCATAGACTTTGCATAGAATACTGCAAACCTCTAGTTAATTTCTAGAAGTTTGAAAAACTTAATTTGTCAGTTTTCTTTTTGCTTTTTTAGAAGAGACCATTTTCAAGGTTCCTTATTCTGACAGTTTTTCTGATACCATTTTATCCCATAATTTTTTGTATCCCATATGTAAAGTTTGTATACATATAGGAGCTCTGTTGGTGCAGTGGTTAAAGCATTTGGCTGCTAACCAAAGGCCAGTGGTTAGAACCCACCTGATGCTTCTTGGGACAAAAATGAGGCCATCTGCTTCTGTGAAGACTTACAGCCTTGGAAAAACTATGAGGCAGTTCTGCTCTGTTGTACAGGGTCACTATGAGTCAGAATTGAGTCTATGGCAGTGGATTTTGTTTTAGTTTATGTATATATAATATTTTAATACAATGTATAATTCCCCTTATTATTCCCTTGGATAATTTACAAGTATGTAATTGGTGATATTTAGATGTATTTTTGTTATTGACTTCAAATTTAATTTCATGTCCAGAGAATATATGCTTGACTTCATCATGTATATTTTCTCTTTATATTATGCACTTATTTGATACAGTGTTTTTACAAAAATCTGTTAGGTTAACTTGTTTGTATGACTTCAAAACTTACATGTTTTCTCTACAAGATATTTCTACTTCACTTGTCATATGATTTTTCTTATGTCGATATTTGAGCTATGCGCTGCATTTTTTAATTTTTAAATAAATTATTATTAATAATTATATTAAACAAGTATGAATTTAGTAGACTTTCATGATTTACTTTAAGATGCTGCATATGTTTCAAAGTTTGTGACAAAATTGTAATAATGAATGTTTCCCTGAAAGGCAAGCAGAGAGAACTCCCTTTTAGACACTTTTGAATTGCAAGGTAACAAACATCTACTTATTAAGGACAGCATCTAACAGTACTCAGTTATAAAATGAAGTGTGCTTGGACTTAAGTGGTTAGAGACAGCCAACTCCCTTCTGTGTTCCTGGCAGTAGTAGATATATTTGATGCTAAATTACATATCTGATTGTGCATGTTGTCAAATGTTTTTTCAGAGGGGCCTTGCAGTGTAGTAAATTACTTAGTGTGGCTTTTCTACCCATAAGTCTTTGTAAACTCCAAGGTGGGATTTTCTATGAGCAACTGAGGAGCTCCTGATTGCTGAAGTTGTCCACCTGGAGTATTTCTGTAGGGCGTGGCACAATACAATGTTCTGGGAGTTTCCCACTCTCTCTCACATGCTTTGAGTTCTGATTCTGTGATTGGCTAGTTTGACCACTCTTCTGGCCTCAAAAGGAGGCCTCTTAGAGGCAGAACTCACTCTGACTGCTGGTTGAGTAAGACGTGCTGCTGAAAGAGACACGGGCTCCTGAGACACGCGTTGCTGGGAAAGAGACGCAAGAGACACGCATTGCTGAGTGAGACACCGAGGGACCAGCACTGCTGGGAAAGAGACTGTGAGAGACTGTTGGCTGAGGGACGGTGGGCTGGGAGACAGACTGAGCATTCTTCCTGAACTTGAGTTGTAGCCTGGTGCTTCTCTAATAAACCCTGTAATCTGTGAGTTCTGTGTGGCCACTGCAGTGAATTATCGAACCCAGGAGAGAGGTTGTGGGTGCTTTGGGAGGAATGGTTGGTAAAAGGGCTGGAGGGAGGCAGCATGTCTGGCCTTGCAGTAATAGGCCTTGGGTTACTAATGTCTTCCTCTTGTAAGATTAGAGGAGAACAGAAAATGTGACCTCCTTGCCGTTTTAGCAGGCCTTTAACACATTAATTGTAGTTCCTTTAAATTCCCTTTTAGTCCCATCATCTATGTCATATCAGTCTGGTTCTCAGGATTGCTTTTCCTCTTCAGATGATTTTATCTTGCCTTTTTCTACATCCTATTATTTATGCTTTTTTGAAAGCTGGACATACTATGTAAGGCAGTAAATGCTGAATTAAATGTTTTTTGTGCTTGTAGATGATCACATTTTCCTCCTGTCAGATTCCTATTCTCACTGTACCAAAGGCATCACATTCCTCAAGTGTTTGTTGTTTGTGTTGTTAGATGCTGATGAATCATCTCCAACTCATAGAGATCCTATGCAAAGCAGAACAAAACACTGCCTGATCCTGTGCCAGCTCCACAATCCCTGCTATACCTGAGCCGATCTTTGTACCCATTGTGTCAATCTATCTTCCCCTCTTTTGTTAACCCTCCACTTCACCAAACATGATATCCTTCATGTTCTTACAAAATGACCAAAGTAGGTGAGATGAAGTCTGGCCATTCTCGCTACCAAGGAGCATTCCGCCTACTCTTTTCCAGGACAGATTTGTTAGTTGAACTAACAAATCTGGTAGTTATTTTAGCAGTCCATGGTACTTTCAGCATTCTTCGCCACCAGCACAACTCAAAAGCATCAACTCTTCTTTGGTCTTCCTAATTCATTGTCCAGCTCTCACATGCGTAAGAGGCAATTGAAAATACCATGGCTAGGGTTAGGCACACCTTAGTCTTCAAGGAGACAAATCGACTCTTCAACACTTGAAAAAGGTCTTTTGCAGTAGATTTGCCCAATGCAATACATCGTCTGATGTCTTGACTGCGATTTCTATTGGTGTTGATTGCAGAAGCAAGTAATATGAAGTTCCCGACAACTTCATGAATCTGTTTATTGGACCAGTTGTGAGGATATTTGTTTTCTTTATATTGTAATCCATACTGCAGACTGTAGTCTTTAATCTTCATCAGTAAGTGCTTCAAGTCATCCTCACTTTCAGCCAGGAAAGTTGTGTCATCTGTGTATCACAGGTAGTTAATGAGTCTTCCTCCAATCCTGTTACCATGTTCTTCTTCATATAACCCATCTTCTTGGATTATTTGCTAAGCATACATATTGGATAAGTATGGTGAAAGGATACAATGCTGACGCACTCCCTTTTTGATTTAAAAACATGCAATATCCCCTTGTTCTGTTTGAATGACAGCCTCCTGATTGATCTATGTACAGATTCCTCATGAGTACAGTCAAGTGTTTGGGAATCCCATTCTTCTCGATGTTATGCATAATTTGTTGTGATCCACACAATTGCATGTTTTTGCATAGTCAATAAAACTTAAGCAAAAATCTTTCTTGTATTCTTTGTTTTAGCCAAGATCCATCTGACATCAGCAATGATACCCCTTGTTGCACATCCTCTTCTGAATCCAGCTTGCATTTTGGGAAGTTCCCTGTCAGTATACTGCTGCAAGTTTTTTTTTTTTTTTTTATCTTCAGTAAGATTTACTTGCGTGAGATATTAATGATATTGTCCAATAATTTTCACATTCTGTGGGATACCCTTTTTTGGAATGGGTACAA